AGGCGCACTACCGCGCCTGTCTCTACTCGGGCGTCCAGATTGGCGGCATCAACGCAGAGGTGATGGCCTCGCAGTGGGAGTTTCAGGTAAATTTGTTGTTTTNCCAGATTGGCGGCATCAACGCAGAGGTGATGGCCTCGCAGTGGGAGTTTCAGGTAAATTTGTTGTTTTGTTTTTAAGTTTTGATAAGTTTAAACTAACTTTTATCACACTCCTCTCTGCAGATTGGCCCCGGTCTGGGCATCAAGGCGGCCGACGACCTGTGGATGGCCCGTTTTCTCCTCCACCGCATCGCCGAGGACTTCAACATTGGCGTCACCTTTGACCCGAAGCTCTTTAAGGAGTGGAACGGCGCCGGCTGCCATGCCAACTTCAGCACCAAGGCGATGCGCGAGAAGGGCGGTCTGAAGGTGATCGAGGCGGCCATGCCAAAGCTGGAGAAGAACCACCTGAAGCACATCAGCCAGTACGATCCCTCGGGCGGCGCGGACAACGCCCGCCGCCTGACGGGCATTCACGAGACCAGCAGCATGGACAAGTTTAGCTGGGGCGTGGCCAACCGCGGCTGCTCGGTGCGCATTCCCCGGGCGGTGGCCGACAATGGCTGCGGCTTCCTCGAGGATCGCCGCCCCGCCTCCAACATGGACCCTTACGTGGTCACTGAGCTGCTCGTCCGTACCATTGTTCTCAATGAGTAGAGGAAAAGAAGAGTGCGGAAGATTCTCAGCTTGAGAGCATTCTTTCTCCCTCTCTATCTCAGCATTTATTGCAGCAACAATTTTTTTTCTTTTTTTTCAAAATGTATTTTCAGCAAAGGCATTGCACACCACCACTACCAACTTCATTGTCATGCAACTTTTGCAAACGCCCGATTTTATTTTTGCCATCGGTAGATGTATTTTAATTCAAACAATTTTTTTTATTTCTTACTATTTGTGAGGTACTATTTGATGAGGTCCAAACATTAGGTAAAAGATACTATACAACTTATCCCAATTTTGTATAAAGTTCCAGAAAAGCGGTAGACTTCAGGCATTTTCTGTGTGTGCTACCTTCTTTTCCTTTTTGTGTTATCCATCAGTGCTTCTTTCTTTTGAGCTCTAAATGCCAAAAAGTTTTTTCTTTATTTTTTCCGCCTTTTTTATTGAATTGTAAACACATTACCAACTGCCGTACCACCACCACCACCGCTGTAGTGCCATAAGTGCTCTAATGATTTCAAATATGACATGCTTCTGTAGAATGAACAAGTTTGCATTTTCATGCGCCTAATTCTTTTGTGCCATTTATGCAGTACAATAATTACCTACCAGCAGTACAATAAACAGTGAACAAAAGTGTGCGACCAAAAAGTGCCACTCTGTACATGCGACAAACGGTTCATCTTTTTCTTTCTTTTCTTTTTATTTATGACACCTGTGTCTGAGCTGCAGGTATGTGCATTTTTATCCTTCAGGTTGCTTTAGCTGTGTGCACTACGTGCTTCAATGCTGGTAGACATTTCCTTGCTGGTATAAAAAAAGTTTCTACTCATTACTGACTAAAAAATCGTTCTGAGATGGTACTTTTGCTTTAATGGACTACACTTTGGTGCATGTGGGCGCTTATAAATAGATAAGCTTTGGTAAATGGCTAAAAAACAAAAATAAAAAACGTTGTGGACGTTGTCTGCCAGACAATTCATTGTGTTAATTTATGTATAAACGTTTTTGCTGCTGCTGCCGACATTGACATTGAGGTGACAATTTTTTCGCTGTTTCTTCTGCTGCCACAACGAGTTATTTTTGGCAAGTTTTAAACTCATTCTTTTTACTGACTTGTAAGTAACCTTTGTTTTTTGTTGTGTTTGACTTTTATCATTTCAGATAAACAAATGATTCTTGATGTTTAGCTAAAAAATAATTGTCGTTTTGACTTTTAAAACTTATAACTTTTAAGAGTTTACATTTTTATCAATTGACAGCAATTTTTTCAATGTCAAGATAGTGTGTTTGTATGCAAGAAAGATGTGAAATCAGAAAGACGAAAATAGCAATCAGTGCAACTCAACATTTTGTGACACTTTGGTGAGATGTCCGGAGTGACAAAACATTGTTGATGAAGCAGTAGAAGAAGAAGAAGAAGAAGAAGGAAAACTTCTTTTCAAAAGAGGAGAGAGTTGGCGAGACAGTTGAGCAAACAAGAGAAAAGCAGAAGTTTTACCAATTTGTCATCGAAGTGAAAGAATGAAAATGAAAGGAAAGGGGGAAAATGGAGGGTGCCAAATGACGTTGAAAACTGAAAAACCATATAAAAACGCATCCCACTTGAAGCCTACAAATTCATTCATTCAAGAAATTCAGTTACTGAACAGCTACTGAGCTTTTACAAAATGGCCGCTAAGCAGCTGACCACTTTGGTCTTTCTTCTTTTCGCAACGATAGCCGTTGCTGAAGTGCTCTCCAGCGTCACCAAGCCGTCACCTTCAGAGGAGAATGCCGCCCTCCAGAAAGAAGTTTCTCGGGTATGATGAAATTTTACAAAAGTCTTTAAAACCCAAAAATTGTAAATTTTTTTTAAAAACAATTACAGCAAAAACGCTCTTACCTTGCGTACCGTTTCGCCGACGGCATTGAGTACGTCGTACCGGAAGTGCGTGAGACCTTCAGCTGTGCAAACAGAGACTACGGCTACTACGCCGACATTGGCAACAACTGCCAGATCTTTCACGTCTGTGTTCCACCTGCACAGCAGTTTAGCTTCTTCTGTCCGAATACGACCATCTTCGACCAGCGATTGCTGATCTGCCAAGACCAGTACGCGGCGACGCCCTGCCAAGATGCAGAACGTTTCTACGTGGTCAACTCCAACTTTGGCGTCACCGATGAAGAGAAGATTGTTCGAGTCTGAAAAACTGTAGTTCTATATTCTGTTCCCATTTTTGTTAGCTAGTTCCACCTGCCAATCAGCCAACCAACACATTCTCCAAAACACATTTCAGTATCTTAACTTTTTAGCAATTTCCGCCAATGTCAAAACAATAGCATCTAATGTACTCTGTATTTTATTTGCACTCCTAAACTACTGCCAACTACTAAATAAAAATATAAATGCTTTTTTAGACTAACAGCTTTTGCAGTTGTCATTAATTGGCAGTCTTGTGCTGAGAGAATGTGGAGAAACTGATGGTGATGATGAAACAACACATAAATGTGAGCTTTTTATCAAATGGGAGCAGCCACAACAGTGTATTCTATTGTCTGACAGCAGTGTTGTAAAAATGCAGAAAATTAATGAGCAGTCGAGGCATTTCATTGGCCTTCTTGGCAGTTTGAGGCATACCAAACTGCATCCCTGCACTGTTTGGCACTATCGTCCTTTGAACTAGTGGTGTTGTTGACTTAGAGGAATGATAATCGCAAGTCTAATATCCCATATGTTTAATGTTTCAGTGCTAGCAAAAATGGCAATCGAACGTCTGCAAATTTAAAATCTGATTTTGTAAAAAGAAGTTTGTTGCAAACAAATCATTCAGACATGGACACTGCCTCACTGGAGCCCAAGTTTAGAAAGCCAGCGCCGTACGACCGGGCAAACATCTTTTCAAAGGTCATCTTTGGGTAAGTTTTCAAAAGTTTTTAACCTTTTTGCTAAACATTCCCTCAGCTACACAGCACCCACCCTCCTCCGCGGCTGGCGTCAGGGCGGCCTTCAGGTGGACGATCTCTACCAGAGCCCAAAAAATGACGTCGTCAAAAAGGTTGCCCGATCTTTGCTGCTCAACTGGGAACGAGAGCAAACAAAGTGCTCAAAAACTGGTAACAAAACAAAGAAACCTTCCTTCAGCTGGGCACTCTTTCGCAGCTTCCTCTTCTGCTACCTCCCTCCACTGACCATCTACCTTATAACCGAGTGCATCTTCAGGACGGCACAACCTCTCCTCCTCGGTCGTGTCATTCGCTACTTTGGCGGCGGCAGCGATGATGGATCAAAGAAAATCAGCTACCTTGAGGCCTGCCTGACGGCGGGCGGTCTCTGCCTGATGCTGTTTACCCAGCAGACGGTCAATCACCCGACGATGCTTCACCTAAAACGGCTTGGAATGCGCCTTCGAGTGGCTTGCTGCGCCCTCCTCTACCAAAAGTCACTGCGACTAAGTCGGGGAGCGCTGGGCCAAACTTCCGTCGCCCAAACGGTGAACATCATGTCCAATGACTGTAATCGTTTCGACGAGTTCAGCATCTGGGTTCCCTATGTGGTGATTGCCCCTGCTCACACACTACTTTCCCTTTACTTTGTTTATCAATACGTGGGAGTGGCAAGTTTGGCGGGAATCGCCTTTCTGGTGGCCTTTCTTCCCTATCAGAGCGCCATGGCCCGCCTTTTCTCGACAGTCCGCTTTGCCATTGCCAGCCTGACCGACGCCCGACTGCGATATCTGAGTGAAATAATTTCCGGCATCCGTGTCATCAAAATGTACGCTTGGGAGCGCTCATTTGCAGTACGAATTGCCAAAACGAGGGCAAAAGAAGTGGCCCAGGTAGCAAAGGCTTGTTATCTGCAGGCGGTCAACAGCAGCACCTACTTTATCGCCTCTAAGCTGGTGCTCTTTATAATCCTACTGATGTACGTGCTGCTATCGGGCAATCGGCTAAATGCAGAGGCCGTCTTTGCTTGTATGTCACTGCTCAATGCAGTTCAGGTCTCCATGACCAAGTACTTTCCAAAGGCGATTGGATTGGGTGCAGAAGTGCGAATCACCTGTAAGCGGATTGAGGTAAGGAATACTGTTTGACGTTTTGTAAAGTAAGAGTCTAAATTTTACCCATTTTTTCTAGAAATTTCTTCTTCTCGAAGAGACAACCTCAGACTGGGAAAGTTCGTTAAAGAAGGAAAAAACGAGTGCTAAACAAAACTGCTACAAACTGCCGAAACCGAAATCGCCGATTGTCAACGAGCCTAGCTTGACCATTGAGCACATAACTGCCCGGTGGAATGCGGTAAATGGTTCTTCTTTTTCAAAACAATCATTTTACGAACTTTTTTACAGGACCCTCAATCCCAGCAAACACTGTCAGACATATCAGTTGACCGCCTGGTCAGCGGCAACCTTCTCGCCGTGGTCGGCAGCGTCGGCTCAGGGAAAAGTTCCCTTCTGATGACACTACTAAAGGAGTTACCTTTGCAGTCGGGAACCATCAGCGTAGAAGGGTCGTTGGCCTACGCCAGCCAGGAGGCCTGGTCTTTCAATGACAGCATCCGCAATAACATTCTTTTTGGTGCACCCTACGAACCAGAGCGATATCGACGGGTGATTGAGGTGTGTGCCTTGAAACGAGATTTGCAACTGCTGCCGCACTCTGATCAGACACTGGTCGGTGAGAAAGGCGTCCAACTTTCTGGAGGGCAGAAGGCTAGGGTTAACCTCGCAAGGTAAGGGAAACCAAAAACTTTAAAAACTTTTAGCTTATTTCCTTACTATTCTAGAGCCGTTTACCGAGACGCCGACATTCTCCTGCTCGATGACCCGCTCTCGGCAGTGGACGCCACCGTGGCGGAGCACATTTTTGAGCAGTGCATTGTCGGCTACTTGACCAACAAGATCCGCATCCTTGTCACGCATCAGCTGCAGTTTGTGGAGAAGGCCACCAAGATCCTGGTGCTCAAGGAGGGTAGCATTCTCGCCTACGGTACCTGGACGGAGCTTCAGCAGCAAGGCGTCGATTTTATGAGCATTCTAGAAAAAGAAAATGAAGAGGCAAAAAAGAAGGAAAACGAAAGTTCAGAAAACGACCCCAAAAGCCTTCACTCTGAAACTTCATCTCTTTCCTCTTCTACTTCATCAGTGTACAGCACCTTTCAAAGCATCACAGATAGCGTCAAAAGAAAAGGAAGCAGCTCCTCTTCCTCAATCACCTCGTCCAATCTCAGTTCGTCCCAACTTTCACTAAACCTTCTCAACCAGGAAGTGGTCAAGGTAAAAGAGGAACTGGCCCAGGTGGGCTCACTCGACGCCGCCGTCTACGGAAAGTACATTCGCGCCAGCGGGGCGCCCCTTCTCTGGATCACCATGATCACCTTCACCCTGCTTTCACAGTCGCTCTTTCACGGCACCGACATCTTTCTCACGTACTGGACAACGAAAAATCAAGAGGAGGAAAAAGTGCCAGAAAGTGGCAACAATACCACTAAGCTATTTGATGATATCGACGAACAACAGCGAGACATCTTCATCTACAGCGGCCTGATTGTCGCCCTCTTTGCCAGCACTATAGTGCGCAGCTTCAGCTTCTTTGCCATTTGTAATCGGGCCTCGGTAAAGTTGCACAATGACACCTTTGCACGGTTGCTTCGGGCTCCGGTTGCTTTTTACGATTCAGTGCCTGCTGGAAGGATTTTAAATCGCCTGGCAAAGGATCTAGGCATCACTGATGAGACGCTCCCACTGACGGCATTTGATTTGAATTTGGTAGGCGGAAAAATGGTTTGAATTTTTTGTTTTGATAAACTTTTTATCACCACCAGATTCTGGGCAATGCCATCGGGGTCATCGTCACCGTCAGTCTGGTCAACTGGTACCTTGTTCTGCCGGCGGTGGCCATCTTTGCCATCGTTGTTTTTCTTCGTGCGATGTACATTGTTTCGGCAAGGGACATCAAACGCATTGAAGGCCTCAGTAAGAACTTATGCTTTAATATGTTTTAATTGACCAATGACTTACTTTTTCCCAACCTCGGTCCACAGCCCGATCTCCCATTTACAATCACGTCAACATTACAATCAGCGGTTTGGCTAGCATTCGAGCCTATGGGGCCCAGGAAGCCTTTGAGCGTCAATTCCACCGGTACCTGGACGACCACAGCGGCATCTGGTACCACTACCTCAGTTTTAGCAAGTTTATCGGCATCATCATCGACTGGATTGTCGTCCTTTACATTGCCAGCATCACCCTCTCGGTGATGCTGACGCCAGAGCTGGCCGGTGGCTACGCCGGTCTAGCCATCAGCAGTGGACTTCTATTAAGTGGTATAACTCAGTTCGGTGTTAGGTGAGGAC